TTCCCTCCTTCTTGATAGGCGTGGTCTTAACTTCCGTACCTTGGAGTGTTCTACAGTTTTTTCGTATGTGGCCTTCAGTTCCGCAGTTCCAGTACTTATGGTTTGGTTTCTTGTCACTCTTACTTCGCCTCAAGGCATTGACTTGTCTAGTGAAATCGTTTAGACGAGTAGTCAGTTGATCCACTGGCTCTTGTACTTGAGTAGCTCTGACTGGGTGGCGATCTCTGATAATTGCTTGCTGGGTTGCCTCGAATTTCATGGCGTACATCAGAGCGCTTTTTAAGTCCTTGACATCTGTCATTCGTAGAGCCTTCTGTATTTACGAATATACTGCAGGGACCTTCAGAAATATATATACTGCAGGGGCAGTATTTCCCTTGTTTTTCTTGGGCACTCCGAAAAGGCGAGCTGAGACAGCCTTTCAGCATCCGTGGCGAGCTCTTGGAGTGTTTCCGTGGGCTTCTGTTGAAAGGGGATTTTAATTGAAGCATGCTGTAATCTTTTAAACACTTCCCGTCTCAAAGCGCAGCTCCAACGCACAGGATAGAGCTTCGAAGTCTAGTCTTTGGGTTTCTGGAAGAGCAGCGTCTGCTTTCAGAGAAGCGGCGAGATGACATGCCATAGCTTGGGAATCCCATCTATTTGCAACCGCCACTATTAAAAATTGTGAAAAAAATATTCCCATTATACGTGGATAGCTTCAGAGAGGTAAGAGCAGGCATGGGTAAAAATTTAAAGCCGTCAAAATTGCTTCTTGCTGTCGCTATTCATTTCTTTAATGTGTCAAGTTCGTTGGCGACGAGAGCAGAAACTCTGTCTTCAGTTTGTTGTTCCACGGCAGAAACTCGCTCTTCTATTTGTTCTTTCACAGAAGAAACTCTGCAATCGATTTGTTGTTCCACGGCAGAAACTCTCTCTTTTATTTGTTTCTTGACAGAAGAAACTTTGTCTTCAGTTTGTCTAACTTCATTTTCAACCACGTCTATTCTGTTTTTGATAACATCAGATTTGCTTTTTATTATGCAGGTAATTTTTCTTATTTCTTCTTGACCTGCTTCTGTCTTTTCTTGACGAGCTTCCATCTTTTTTTTAACGGTTGCTTGGCCATCTTTCATCTCTTTTTTTAACGAAATCTGACATTTCGTTTTTAAATGCAGGAAAGGCTGCCATAAGCTGTCTTAACTACTCCTCCATCGCCTTTGTTATTGGCATTCAAATGCCACTTTTGACACCAAAAAGTGTTGCGTGCGTACGGGTTTGTAATAGACTGAAGGCCCAAGTCCGATAAAAAGTTAATAAATTTTATTCTTATGACAAGAAATATAATAAAACGCTGGATTTTTTATCAAAGATATTCATACAATATCGCAATATAATCAGTAGCTATATTTTAAACTATTAAAACATTAAATAGAACGTAATCCAAAGCGCAGAGAAAGCTAATCCGATCTCACCGCGAATTCACTATAATCAACAACAACAGTTATCTAAAAAACTGAGCTGACTTTTTAATGCTGAGAGCAGCTAGTGTAATTAATTAGCTGTGTTCCGGCTCAGTTCAAGCAAAGTTAATATGTAAGTATAAGAAATACATAATACACTGACTACAAATAAGTATTTGGACACCTGTGATAGAAAAAAACTAACTTTATTCAAAATCAATAGTTGGTAGAGCCTCCACGAGAGGTAATTACAGCATGGAACCTCCGGAGCATACTTTCCACAAGTCTTTGTATGACAGCTTGTGGTATTTTCTTCCACTCGGCTTGGAGAAGACATAGAAGTTCCTTCACCGATTTTGCACAGGCAGTGCACCCTTGAATTCGGCGATGCAACTCGTCCCAGACGTTCTCGATAGAGTTCAGGTCTGGACTCTGGGCAGGCCAGTCCATTCGATGAACTCCATTGGCACCATACCAAGCCTTGGTTAACGTCGAAACATGACAATTGACATTGTCGTCCTGAACGTTATAGGGATCCACCCGTAAAACTGCCACAACGTAGGAAGCACATTGTCATCCAAAATAGTGCAGTAGGCATCGGAGTTGAGCTTACCATGAATAGGGACCAAGGGTCTTAGCCCATACCAGGAGAAACACCCCCAGACCATAATTCCACCTCCGCCGAACTTGACTGTTGACACAATGCATTCTGACAGGAGACATTCTCCAGGTAGACGCCAGACCCAGACCCTGCCATCCGAGCGGTAAAGGGTGAACCTTCATTCGTCACTCCAAAGAACCCGTTTCCACTGATCTATGGTCCAATTTCGATGTGCTTTGCACCACATTAACCGAGCAGCGCGGTTGGACTTTGTGATCAAAGGCTTATGGGCAGCAGCACGACCATGAAAACCAAGCAGATGTGCTTCCTTATGGAAGGTATTCATTGAAACAATACTCCCGGATGCCTGTTGAAACTCCTCGCGGATTAGGGCTTTCAGTTGGGTGTGGTTCTTCCGAATTTCTCTGGACAGCACTCGTCGGTCTCTATCTCCCAGTTTCGTTGGTCTGCCGACTCGGGTGACGTTCAGACAATCACCGCTCACCTTCCACTTCTTAATCACATAGGCCACTGTCTATTTTGGGTACTTCAGATCGCTAGATATGTCCCTTAAGGATTGGCCACATTTGTGATACCCGATAACCTTTCTCGAAATCAGAGAGCTCCGAACTGCAAGGCATCTTGCATGTGACTAAAGCCGATGCTGTTTCCTACACGATATATACCGGCGAAGTCCGTGCCGTACCTTAGGACCGCAGATATCGTCATTTGCATAGGTGTCCAAATACTTATTGGTAGTCAGTGTATAAAAATACAAAGTAATAAATGTAAAGGAAACGGCCAAAAACATAACTGGCCTAGGATGAAGAGTCCTGAAAAGTGAAAGTAAAAAGCTATGCTTAAAAGGTGGTACAGCCTGAGGTCTGGTACAGTTGTTACTCTGTAAATATGTAACTGGAATTGTTCTCCACGCCCGCAATGCACCCTTCTTCCATCTTGCACTATCGTCTTCGTCCAGCATTTGTTTGCACTGCCCCCAGCAGTTGCCTTGAGCACAATATGTATTTATAAGTGTGTCTTTTGTTCAAGTTATTTCCGTCAGCGGGGCTACCTGGCCGATATGCGAACTACGGCAGCCGGTGGAAAGAAAGAAAGGTACAGTTGTTCGCAGTCATCCTTCGATATAAGTACAAGAGAATTAAATATTTAGTTCAATAAGTCCACGAAACTGCAGGGCAAGCTGTAGTTTTTCATTCTGCGAGTTCAAATCTTGAATAATCTTGGCAAATTCTACAATTTTGCCGAAGAATCCAGCAAATTTGCTTAATAAATTAGTGACATGCGAATCACACTTTAAAGTAATGTCCGAAGTCATTAATTTAGCATCTGCAGTTTTTGAAGCAGCAGTAACGTCAGAAGTCGATTTTCTAGACTTTTCAGCTTTCTTTTTAAATTTATTGGGCGGCTCGAGAGCAGTCTTAGTTTTTGAAGCAGCAGTAACGTCAGAAGTCGATTTTCTAGACTTTTCAGCTTTCTTTTTAAATTTATTGGGCGGCTCGAGAGCAGTCTTATCATCTTTGCTAGTATTACGAACTTTTAGAAAATATACGCAACCTTTATAAGTTAAAATGCGCGATTTTTTACACCTAACACAGGCGGTTTCTTTTTTCTTCTGTCAGAGCACAAGTGTAGGTTCGGTGCTCAGAATCAATTTCAAACACCTCGGTTCAATGTTGCAGAAAAGCTGTCAGTGGCCAAATCTTTGGCATCGGAAGCATATCATGGCATTTCTATTCGAGCTGAATCGTCGGAATTTAACATGGAGACCCGGAATAGTTTTCAATAAAAGCTCAGAATATATTGGAGATACAAAGTTAAGCAGGCGGAGCTGTGTGTCCATAAATGTGTGGGATTCAGCTTGTGACGTCACAATGTATTCTCGAATTTACTCTATTTGTACTTTCTATTTTCTCCTAAAAACTGACTCTTGACCAGCTCCTATCTTTCTTTAACGGATTCCTGTCCTGCTTTCATTTCTGCTTTAACAAAGTTGACGGCCTCTTCCATCTTTTCTTGGAATGCAGCAAATGCAGTTATTCAATTACCTGAACTCTTCTTCCATTGCTCTTGTAATTAGCATTCAAAACCCCACTCCTGACACCAAAAAGTGTTGAGTGCATACGGATTCATAGTAAATTGAATGCACAAGTACGATGAAAAGTGAATAAAAATTTATTCTTATCACAACAAATAAAACAAAATGCTGAAATTTCCTCAGAGATATTCGTACAATATTGCAATATCTCACAGTAGTTATATTTTAAACTACTAAAATAATAGTTGAATAGAACTCAATTCAAAGCAGAAAAGCTAATCCGATTTCACCGCGAATTCGCTACAGTCAACAACAAGAACTAAGTAAACAACTGAATTGAGATGTTTTTCTTCGGCTTTTATAAGCTTTTTAATCCTGCACAAGAACATTCTGGTATTTTCTCGATTTTTCTGGACAGCAAAAAGAGCACAATTACGAAATATCTATTTATTAAAATGTTAAACGCGCATGCTCCTGTATTTTAATTTTTCCGGTGTAGGTTTCCTTATCAAATAAGTTCGTGCTACATTGCACGGGAATATAAAACAATTTTAATGACAAATTCTACTAAAAAATAGATAAATACAAAATCCGTAACAATATTAATGATTATGATCCCCCTGTTAATTTTAAATAATATATCTTTTATTTTATTATAAATTTTCATTGTGGTCTTCCTTTTGCATTTTGGAAATTCTAGAATCCTAAAAACAATTTTAAAAATTAACAAGTCTTTAAAATGATTTTTCTCAAGTTAGCACATACAACAATTTGACATAATATTTTTGGAAATAAGAGCTTGATCATTAAGAAATATTAATGTGACATGATGAACTAATTTGACCATAAACATTATTGTCAAATAACCTAAAACATAAAGAATATGAGAATAAAATTTATTTATAAACATCATATGTACTATACATAATTTTACAATGTCCTATATATATCATACCTGTATGTACCTATATATATCATACTTGCCCTATATATATCATACCAAAACAAACATTTATTTACATATGTACAAATGAAATGAAAAACTTCATGTTTTTTGTTTCTTTGCTTTCCTCCTCCTTTCGGTAATAGGATTTCGAGGATCAGATAATTCATATCGATCAGCTGAAGGTAAATTTGCATCTTTGGCCAAAACTACTTTCTGATCCTCAGCACAAAGGGAATGCACCATCCTGAAAATAAATAAATAAATAAAATAAACCAAATGCTAACAAAGTAAACTGTTAATATATATCTCTACAGAGGTTTTCAAATTTCTTAACCTTTGATAATCCATGGATCAATTTTTTCCCCTATATATATTGCTTGCAATCTATTACATGTGTAAGTGTTGTTATTTATTTGAGGCTTATGATTTTATTTGAAGATTGATTTGATATTCACTTCCAAGAACTATAATAATTTCCATAAATTTCTAAATTAACAAAAATCTTTTAATAACTCTATCTATATGATCTCAATCAAACCATTACTTACCAAATCATCATGAAAAATAGGACTCCATTATTAATAAGATTAAGGATTTTCACGTAATCTTAAAATTTTTATTTCCAATGAATACAATAAATTTTCTAACCATTACACTTTTTCCAAATTCCATAAAATACCATTTAAATTCAGACTGCCAATGGGACTTAAAAAATTATATAATATAATATATATATATATATAATACATGTTAAAACAATGATTTCTACTTTGTACAAAAATTTAAAAGGATTAATGATTTGATTTTTAACTCTATTAGAAAAGAACACAATTTTTGCTAGAGCATTAATTAGTTTAACAATAATTTCTACTATTAAAGAACTATTTAAGTCTCTTACAACTTAAAGATTAGACTTGTTTTCAAAAATGTTCACAATAATTACAACAGATAAATGGATAACTTACCTCAAATGCATATTGTTTAACAACTGTATTAAATTTAATAATACCATTTTTAAACAAGTAAATGGAATTCCTATGGGCAGGAACTTCTGAACACAACTTTCTGACCTTTATTTATTTACTAAAGAATATAAGTTTCAACAATGTCTTGACTAAAATTTAAAACGTTTTGCAGGTGCCTACAGATATGATATATAGATGATACTAAAAAATTCTGATGCAATAGAAAAATTTCAAATATATCCTTTTTGCTTAAAAATTAATAAAACCAACAAGAATAAAAAAGAAATAGAGTTTCTTGATCTTATATAATTAGTTAAACTTTTCTAGAAAAGGAGAATCTTTAATTTTTCTAAAATTAAACTGTAACTCCAATGTCTTTAGAAAAGTTATCATTAACACAATACTCAACCATGCTAATAGATTTAATGAAGAGACAGTTTTACTTACACAAGTACTGAAAGAAAATAACACAATTTCATTAATTATTATCTTAATAAAGCAGGCATTAAATACCTTATCTAATCTTTAAATTAACAGGTAATCATAAGCTTGTCTTAAACCCTTGGGAGGACAAGAAAGGACAACTGTGAGATTTAAAGATTTGCATATTTGTAATTAAATTGTATAAAAAGATGTTCTATTACTATTCTGGCTGTCACCCATTTTTCGCTGAAAATTTTTTCCTCTTGAGTTGACTTTCAACCAGAATTAATTTTAAAATTCAATTTTACTCTGCTTTTTTAATTATGCAGTTCCTATCTTACAGTTAAATAAATAATAAAAAAGTCTTGTTCAGTCCCAGTCTTGTTCAGTCCAACTGCAATGCCTATGACACCACTGCAGATGTGTAATATGGTGCTGAGACAATGAGACATACACAGCAGATCTATGGGCATATAGTCCTTCTTCTTCCATAAATCTGATTACTATTTTTCAGGAGATCTACTGTCCTGTAGCAGCAAAAAAACTCATTTGCTGCCAGCTGAGATATGATGCACTAGTTCTTTTTGCCAATACAGAAATGTACCTGTCTTCGGCAGGAGTCTATCAACACTACAAATAACTACTTGTGTAACGAACTAGTATGCCTGAGGACATAAACAAATAATGGTACTGATGTTTGTAATACTATTCTGTGGATGACCATATCCTAAACATGTCTAGACCATTAAATATGTACTAACACAACCCCAAAATCTCAACTAAATAATGAAATTGTACAGTACAAAGTCCGAGATCCAGAACTGCCCGCAATTTCAGATTTTAGATAATCAGTTTAAATCTAAGTTTAACATTATGATAACATTTAGACATTTAAAAAAAATTATAAATATTTCTTTAAGAAAGATATTTTGTGTCAAGGAAGAATTTTTAAAACACCACCATGAGACTTGAAACCAAAATGGTGATATTTTCCAAATTTAAAAATGTATTATCGATATTTGCTATTCTGTTAATTGTTTGATGTTTGAGGCATTGTCATTGCAATGTAAAAGTTCCATTATATAATCTTCATTTAGCATTTCTTTATAAAAAACCATCAGATGCATGCCTCTTAGCATCAGCATGAAAGCTGTTTTAGCTGGCATCATGTAACTGGTTATTACAGGGGCATAGCTAGAGGGGGGCAAGGAGGGGCATCTGTCCCCACGCATAGAATCCAAGGGGCGCCAAATTGATTTTACGACATTTTAGAATTAAATGTTTTCCATCCTTGGCAAGCAGTAGGGGGTGCGAAATCTTCAGTTGTCCCTGGGCGCTGAAAACCCTAACTACGACTCTGGGTTATTAATTGCACCAAGCACTTAAAAAAATATCTTCATTCACATCCTCTCATGGTCCTGCATTCCCCCACACCATATTTTATATTAAAATGTTTCTAGAATTCATGGATGATATTTCAGCATTGGTTTTTAAAAAGCTACCTGCATTTAAATGTGCAAGTTCTGATATCCAATGGAAAACTCACAGAAGCACAGTTTTGAGTTAAAAGTAAAATGAAGACGTTATCATTTGCTAATAAGATTATAAATAGACTTAACATTAGTAATAAGCTGCTTCAAACCAGAATATTAAAGGGAAAGCACAAATTACTCTGTTAACTAAGCTGGGCTCCTTGGAATCTAATTCTTTCTCCTTTCTGTGCTGCTATGTCAACAAAAGTAAACCGGTATGAGCAACATCCCATTCCAAATAAATATATGTTGGGTTTTACTTATCATTTAAATCAAACAGCAAAATGACAACTTCTGCCCCACCCCTAATTACTCCAAAACTGAAAGTGGGTCATGGCTAATCAATGTATTGTCATTGGCAATGGTGTGATTCCCTAGCCAGGATATGTCTGAAAATACATACAAGAATCTCAGTTAGTTAAAAGAAACTCTCTTTTATGGTACATGTTTCTTTCTCAAATATTATATTTGTTATTCCTAGAATTATTATTATTATAATTTTTTTAAGGAAAAAGAACTGTTAATGGTCTACATAATCCAGATTTCAGACTTTGTACTGCATTACCAATTCTTAACCATAAATAAAGCTACTTTTATGGAAGGCAACAGTTAATCATTCCTGAATCACAGATTTTATTCTTTCGCGTTGTAGTGTGATGCATCATATAAGCTTGATTTGGTAGTTATTGGAATGTTCTTTAAATAATTCATCCCATTCCTAAATCTAATATATTATAGTTATTGTCATTTATTTATTTTTAAAATTTTCTGCCAGAATTGCAATGCATAGCAAATCAACAATCAACTAATACCACAACAGTTCATTACTGTTTTTGATATTATAATTGGCTGGGTTTATTTTGAAGCTGAAAGTTCATTTTCCACAGATTATGATGCATAAGAATAAAAAATTTTAATTTAGAAATATGACTAAAAATTTATGAAGGTGTTGCTAGTGGTCTGTAGAAAAATGAAATAAAAATATAATAGATGGCTGAAAGAATAAGATGCTCAAATTTCAAACTGTTTAAAAAAAACCCGATGTGTACACCACATGACTTCCTTGTAGGGAATATGAAATTATTGCTTTTTCCTTGCATTTCATTTAAACTTATTGGATTGAATTAAATCTACTTCTTCGATAGCACATAAACCACAATAGAATAAATGAACTCCTTAAAATTGACTATACGTATTTACAATAGTGACACTCTAGCCCTAAGTTCCCTTAACAGCCTTACACTTCATTCGTTTTATAACTCAGAATGCACAAAACTTATATCATCTGAAGAACTATCTAATTGTTGCCACATGCTCTTTTCAAATATTATAGTAACTCTAAAACGTTGTATAAAAGAAATTAGAAAAAAAAAAAAAAAAAAAAAAAAAAAAAAAAAAAGGTGTTTTACAGATGATTTTGTATTTCTCAATCAATTAATTCAGTCCTCACTTTGCTACAAGGCTAAAACACATAAAAACTCAAAATATCTATATTAAAATTACTAAATAAGTAAATCTTAAACACTTATTTCCTTGAATAAATTTCAGAATGGATCAAGCATGATTTAATTTGCAATAATAATAAAAGAAGGCATTATCTTTGTTGTTGCAAAGCTTAGTTTCTCTAGATTGACAACAAATCCACTATTCTACCAAGTTTCAAATGTAAACAAACATGGCCACCATGGCAAAAATAATTAGGCTTAGCCTCATTTAAACAACTTTTAAATTGTTGCTAATTCTACAAATATTTCATGCAGATTTACTAAAGGCATAAAAACCTTAACTGGAAGATAAGAACAACATAATTAAATAATTTTTAAAGCAAAAAATGCACAATTTACAAGCATATAAGACTAAAGAAACCGAGCTCACTGAGCCAAGTAACAGAGTGGATATGTATATATAAACATATATTTATATAATTTTTGGTGCGCCCAGTTGCAACCAAAATACGAGGCGCATGTCTACATGTTATAGCAGTCCTACATACAAAATTTTCAATGTTCTCAAGTTATTGGTTTTTGAGTTATGCGAGATACATACTTACGCACAGACGCCATAAAAAATTCTCTTCAGAATTCATTTTAAATCAGTTTTATAATTTTTTTCGGGAAGAGAGTCTTTTACTCTGTCCTTACGTACAGATGTCACGCAAAAACATTGTTAAATTGCATTCAATAGTGGTGAAAATGGAATTTTTGTTGAAATACGATGCCCAAAACTTTTCCTGCTTATAATACTTCCTTTTCACTTTGTACAAGGAAGTAAAAAAAAAAAAAAAAAAAAAAAAAAAAAAGAAGACTATCTGAAATGTTTCAGAT